CGATTTTTATTAATTAAAATATTTAATATAAGTTATAATATAATTCAACTTTTTTTTTCTGGTGAAAAACAGTGTGGTTGTTGGACATACACATTTGTACGATGGTTCAGTTCTTAAAGGGACACTTCAACCCATTTGGCATAAGCTTCTGTATCGTTTAGAAACCAGTCATATTTGTTGAATGGTCGTGACCATTCCCTCATTTTCCCCTGGAGGACGGGGGAGAAATTACGGATTTCAGTGTTGCACTTCTGCTTCCAATGATGGTAAAAATCGTTCATTTTGCATCACTGGAAGCAGGAAGTCTCATATCTTTTGTAGGGGAAGGTGGTTAGACTACAAACACTTCTTTTCTCAGTCAAATAGGCCACCAAATTCAAAATTTATGTTACATTTCACACATATATAAACCCACTTTTCAATAAAGAATAATTGTATCCACAGACAGGTGAAATGCTTCTTTAACTAGCTTTTAAGTCAAAATCCTAAATTTTATTTATCATGTTCTTCTTATAGCTTTGTTGTGTTATTTAGCATGTTGCTATGTAGCTGTTTTCATTTACATCACAAAAAAATTATTTACAAGATCACTTATAGGGATGAAACTTCTTCTACTTCTACATTTTCTACAAGAGTGTCCCTACTTTTGGTTTAAAAGGCAGGTTTATTTTGCAGTTTTTTCTTCATTTTTGCTGCATTGTGTTATATCCATTGAAGCAACACGTCCTCATGCCTATGACTCTGTGACGACCCTCTAAACAGGTCTCTCCCTCAAAGAGCCTGGTGGGTGGAGTCGGGTAATCAGCCATATTAAGTTCACCTGGTCTGGTGGCAAGCCTATATAGGCTGGAGGTAATCAGCTGGTCTCTCTCTCTCCCTTGGCTTCCACCCTGTTTTGTTTGGTTGAATTTAGTTTGTCTTTAGCCTCACTTCTCTTTTAGTTATGTAAAATAAACTTAGTTTGGGTGCCCGGTTAGCTCAGTGGGTAGAGCTGGCGACCCATGTATCAAGGCTGAGTCCTTGCTGCAGTGGCCCAGGGTTCGAATCAGACCTGCGGCCCTTTGCTGCATGTCATCCCCTCTCTCTGTCCATCTTCAACTGTCACTAATATAAAGGCAATAACAGCCCCCAAAAATTAAACTTATTTTTAATTACAACTCATGTGTGTTCTCTCCTTCTTCGTCCAGTCTTGAGCTGGGTTGTGACAACTCACATATGACCAATGGAGAGTACCAGCAACAGGTATACTGAACTTTAAGTATGTTACAGAGGTAATGTGATGTAAGTGGCATACTTTAAATATTGGTTAATAATTGGTTACGTACATAGACTTTCTCACTCTTTGCTCCAGTCACAGTTTCTACGGTCACTAGAGGCAACGGCCTAAAAATAAACGTACATATGGTGCCTGTATAAAGAATCTACACAACTATAGTTCTGGTGAGGTTGGATCGGGATGAAGAGTTCTCTTGGATGTCTCCTTTAACAGAAAGAGATGCTGACTTGATGCATGAAATGGGTTATCCAACAGGGTAGGGTTAACCCTAACCCTACATAAGAACCTGCTGTATGGGTAATTTGCCTGAATGACTATCCTTAAAAAACAAGATAGATTAGGTCTGGTATAGCAGAGTTTTTATCAGAATGTTATAAAATGGATGTAAACTAATGAAACTTATGCAAGAGTTAGAATAAAATTCCATGGGACATGAAGAATAAGAACTTAATTATTCCAAGTACAACTTTAAATAAAGAAATGACATTGTACACTTGAACTGCACAGTGCATGCTGTTTTCTTCTCAACCATCCTGCAGTCACAGAACAAAACCACGTCTCCAATGAATAGCAACTTGAAACATTCTTTTAAGGCCAGTTAATATTTTCCGATAACATCTTGGATTTATCGGTGAAGGAGTGTCAAGTGTTTCTTAACCAATACAAGCAACAAGTTATGCTTTCAACTGTCAAAGGCATGCCGCTGTATTGAACAGAAAAGAAATGCAGGCTAAACTATCAAAAAAGCTGCTGCCCTCTGTGGGAAGATGAATGAAAGAAAGGTCACGTTACCGAGCGATACAAACAAAGAAATAAAGTCTGAGAAAGAAAAATAACTAAGTCAGAAATATGATAGATTTTGTAATTCTGATCTGAATTGTTGTCTTGCCTGTGGTTATGACTACAGAACATGTGAAAGAAAGTTTTGTCAAAATAATTCCTCTAAATTCCTTTTTTTCATCTGTAAATCAGGTGGGGAAAAAAAGTTTTTCCAGGTTAAAAAAACAACAACAATGTGTTGCCAGGATCATTAAAAGTTATTATTTTTTAACTGTGAGTGAAAAAGTAAGTTTTTATTGTTGTAATACTTAACTGTAGTACTTATTTCAACCACAAGAAGCTGAAGTGCACCACATGTTCTAAATTGGTCTCTTGTGGCCAAAATTAGTATTACAACAGTAGGCTTAGAAAATGAATCACCAAAATATTTTTCTTACTTGCCTCTCAGGGCTTCCGTAAAGATGGGAATAAATTTGAGGATGAAAAATATAAAAAAGGAAGAATAAATAAGAACTAACAAGGAAAGAGTGAAGCAGAATCACATAAAAAATGAAGGACCCTGGGATCCTACACATTAATGCATCTGTTCTCTCACAGACAGTACGAAGCAGCCTCTTGTTATAACCTTGATAGACAAAGACAGCCGATTAATAGAGTAATACTGCTGCGTGGGAGTTCAGTTTAATCCCCTGTCTCTCTCATCTTCGCCCCCTCTGCAATAACAACACAAGGTTGGCAGTGGAATCCACTGAGCTAACGGCTTAAGCACCTAACCTTGGCACACTCGGTAATAGCTGCCGCAGTCCTCAATGGCTGCGGTTGACAAAATGTTTTTTTTAAATGACAACACATTCACCATCTTTGTAACCAGATCACGGACAGAATCCCCGTCTTGAAGCTGTATCATGTTTGAAAAAAGTAAAATTAAGAAAATACATCTGTCACTCTCCATCCTACACTTTAATGCAGAAGAAAAAAGCAACCTTTTTCTCCCCGTGTGTTTCGGACGGAAATGAGAGGTCAAATAGACTTTTAATGATGGAGTTAAGTTTTAAGCGCTGGAAAGTTCTGAATTCTTCATGCATAGTGCATATTCTTTAGTGAATAACAATATTTTATTAGATACAGTATCAGTGACCACTGCTGTTTAATAGTGCTTTTTTAGAATATGTGTTTATTCTTATTTTAGCACTTTCATTCCAACTGATTATTACACTTGTCTTTATGTCTCATGTGTTCAACCCATGGCCGAGGAAGTTTTTAAGTGCTAATTTCCGCTGGACCTGAATGTTGTATGTATACTCTAGAAAAAACAATTGTAACACTTTGTGAAATGTTCAGGAGTAACAATATCTTAAATCTGAATAAATATAAAATACGAAAAGTTGACATTACATCATCATCCATGCTGATAAATTTGTATACAGTTGTAGTCGTTGGTACAAGTTAGGCTACAAAAAGCACTCATATATTCTCATTTGTTCTTGTTTTCCACTGTGTTTAAAGTGAAAGTTGAGTTGAGCATATTTATGGCATTGTGGGTGGCGCACAGGTA